GTGAGACTGACTGGCCTGTAGTCTCACCTCAGGGCCTGTTTATCCCCTGGCATTAGCTAGTAAACTACAAGTTCAAGGAATGCCTCACAGAAGATTGGGTTTTCAAGGTAACTGATTAAAATAATTTTAGTGTACACATTTAATTGAATATAGCTTGATAAAGTAATGCAATACAGTTATGACATTGCAAAATCATGTACTACAGTACTACAAAATGTTCATGAATGGATGGTAATCACATACAGGGTGGTGAGGCACTGGAACAGGTTAGAAACATGGGTTGTGGTTAGAAAAATGCTATACTAAACCTCTTTTTAATTCAATCAATAAGACAAAATACCTTAACTGATATAAGAGAACAGGATATGATCATACCAATCCCAATTTAATAAAATAAAACAACTGTTTAGGGGTTACAAGGCATTCAAACCAGATTTTTGACCATTTACCTTTGAAATACCCAGAGAAGTGCATTTTGCACCTCTTGAAATTTTCACACAGTCATGTAAAGCTGAATTGAACCTTAGCACATCCATCCATCCATCCACCCACCACATTCAGCTTGCATATTATCTGTATTTCTATTCTAGTCTTCATATATTTCCTTCATTATTTTAAACTAAATATTACACTATAAAAATCTACAAGTTTTATGACTAATTGATAAGTCTATACTTTACAGAACCACGGAATCCTATAGGTTAGAAGGGACCCTTGGAGATCATCTAGTCCAACCCCCATGCCAAAGAAGGTTCATCTAAAGCAGGTTGGACAGGAATGCATCCAGGCAGGGTTTGAATATCTCCAGAGAAGGAGACTCCACAACATCTCTGGGCAGCCTGTTCTAGTGCTCTGGCATCCTCAAATAAAGCAGCTTCTCCTCACGTTGACAGGGAATTTCCCGCATTCCAGTGCCGCTTGTCTTGCCGCTGGGCACCACTGAAAAGAGTCTGGTCCCACCCTCTTTGACACCTGCCCTTTAGATATTTATAAGCATTGAGATCCCCTCTCAGTCCTCTCTTCTCCAGGCTAAACAGACCCAGATCTCTTGGCCTTTCCTCATGAAAGGTGCTCCATTCCCTGATTATCTTTGGACTCTCTCCAGTAGTTCCTGGTCTTTCTTAAACCAGGGAACCCAGAACTGGACACAGTACTCCAGATGCGGCCTTGCAAGGGCAGAGTAGAGGGGGACGATAAGCGCCCTCGACCTGCTGGCCACGCTCTTTGTAATGTGCCCCAGGATACACTTAGCCTTCTTGGCCAGAAGGCACACCGCTGGCTCACGGGCAACTGATGATCTCCTGGGACTCCCAGGTCCCTCTCTACAGAGCTGCTTTCCAACAAGTCAGCCCCCAGCCTGTACCAGTGCACAGGGTTATTCCTCCCCAGGTGAAGGACCCTACACTTGCCCTTGCTGAGGTTCCCCTCTGTCCAGCTCTCCAGCCTGTCCAGGTCTTGCTGTATGGTGGCAAAGCCTTCTGGTGTATCAGCCAGTCCTCCCAGTTTTGTGTCATCAGCAAGCTTGCTGAGGGTACACTCTGTCTCCTCATCCAGGTTGTTGATGAAAATGTTGAACAAGACTGGGCCCAGTACTGACACCTGGGGAACACCACTAGTCACAGGCCACCAGCTAGACTGTGCCCCTGATCACAACCCTCTGAGCTCTGCCATTCAGATTGTTAAGTGGAAGGCACTACAGAGAACAGCAGTGATCATAATTAATTATGGTAGTCATTAACGACTTGCTTCTTTTAAAAACCAAGCACATATGCATTATGGTTGGGTACTAGTCATGATGTCCTGGATTTACCCTGAGAAAAGTACTGATAAGGTGTCTTTTAGCTGGCTCTAGGGAGTGCCTGCACCACATTCAAGTTTTTTTTCAGGGTCTGATACTGCAGCTGCATTCCCAACTCTCTCGCTACGAGCTGTGTGTGGGGGGACACAGTTCAGACAGCTGACCCAAACTGACTGATGGGATATTTCATTCCATAGCATGTCACGCTCAATACATAAAAGGGGAGACGGCTCAGGGATCATGACTCTTTTTACTGGCTCCTTAACCCTGCTCTGCTGTTAGCTCCTTAACTCCTTTGCTAACTGTTTTGCTAATTCCTTTCTTTCTCGTTCATTCATTCATGAATTGGTGAGTCAGTTAGCTTTTCCCAGTCATGCTATCACTCGTGGGGCTCGCTCGGACTCTGCTGTGATCATCTCAGGCTCTAGCTCTCTGGCTCTGACTCTCACTTATCAGGATCTGGCTGTGCATCGTTTGGCAGGTGGTGAGCAATTGTATCATATGTTTTATTTTCTATTGTTTTAATTACTTATTATTAGTAATATTTTTATATATTCATTTATATATATTATCGATTTAGATTTAATTAGCAAATAGTTCTTATCTCAATTTTATGAGCTTCCATGTCTTTTTCCTCCAATTGTTCCCCTCTGCTGGAGGAGGGCAGGGGGGAGGTTTGCGAGGAGCTTCGTGGTATTTTGCTGGTTGGTGTTAGACACTGAATTTGCTGGCTGGAGTTAAACCATGACAAACCCACGCTTCCTGAACTAGCATATGAGGATGTTATGGGGGACAGTGTCAAAAGCCTTGCTGAGGTCAAAGCAGACAACGTCCACTGCTCTCCCCTCATCCACCCAGCAAGTCATGCGGTGTCAGGAGGTTATCAGATTGGTCAAGCATGATTTCACCTTGGCGAATCCATGTTGACCACTCCCAGTAAATAACCTCTTCCTCTACATGTTTAGAGATGACGTCCAGAATGAGCTGTTCCATTACCTTTCCAGGGATAGAGGTGAGGCTTACTGGCCTGTAGTTTCCCAGGTCTTCCTTCCTGCCCTTTCTGAAGGCTGCCGTAACATTAGCTTTCTCCAGTCCTCAGGCACCTCTCCTGTTCTCCATGACCTTTCAGAGATGATAGAGAGCAGCTTTGCAATAACATCTGCCAGCTCTCTCAGCACTCGTGGGTGTATCCAATCAGGGCCCATGGATTTGCGGATGTCAGGTTTGCCTAAATGATCTCTAAACCAATCCTCCTCGACCAAGGGAGGGGTCTTGCTTTCTCCAGTTTCTCTCTCTTACCTCCAGGGCCTGGGATTCCTGAGGGCCAGCCTTAGCAGTAAAGACTGAAGCAAAGAAGGCATTCAGCAATTCTGCCTTCTCCGCATCCTCCATCACCAGGGCAGCTACCTCATTCAGCAGCAGGCCCACATACTTCTCTCAGAGTCTTACTGATCGAATTCCAGTACTCCAGATTTCAGGTAGCAGAGACAGATAAACTACCAGATATTTACCTGAGTACTTAATAATAACACCAATATCTAAATGCATTTCAAAAATATGAATGGTGACAACATAAGAAGTCATTACCAGGGAGTTAAACATTTTTCTTGTTGATATTGTTAGAAGTTATGTCCATTTTTTAAGAAGCCTAAAAATATTTACTGTTCCTCAACTAATTTGCTTGTTATTATTGGTAAAATACTGGTTAAAACATGATATTACTATGTTTTTCAAAGATGGATCCTTTTGCATGTGATCATTTAAAAGTTCAAATCTGAAGATGATTATTATTACCTTTTGTGTTTCTCATCTACTTACCTGTACTTTAAAGGCTTTCATTTATCAACATCCTCTGACATTACAATGTCACCCAAGGAAGGCAATTAGCACTGTTTTTCATTAAATCGTTATTAAAAAAAACTTGTGCATGCTAGTAACAGTGGCCATTCTTCAAATTAGTCTTTCTGTTTCTTAATCACACCACACAGAGTGAAGATTTTTTTCCAGAAATCACCACTAACATTTCCTACAGATTTATCATATTGGCTTTATTTTTCTAAAATCTTTAATGTGATGAATGGTTTTGAACATGTATTATCCTTATAGTATGTTGATTAAATAACCTAAGTAACATCAGGAACTGAACTGCATAGAAAAAGTTACATATAAAAGAACATGAATTAGGGAGAAAAAACCCATATATGCTAAGAAAGCTTAACCTATGGCTTACCGGTCATAGTCTCCATTGCACAGTGCTCTGACAGAAATCTTGAATGCCTGCCACACTGGATTTAATGTATTTTTTATGACTTCTGTTTTGTGGCAGATTGTAAAACTGTAATAAAACAAACAAAGTTGGTATTTCTTTACTTTTTCTTTTGTGTCATCAAATGAGCTGTAACCCGTATTCACTCATACAAGGCCTGTATAAAATTTAAGATAGGAAAAACAGAAATGCAGTGAACTGAGAGAGAAGGTAGGACGGAAGAGGACAGACCTGTCTGAGAGAGATTACAGACAAGAGTGCAAAACAACTCTAAACTGAAAATGGTTTTACCCAAAACTTTTACTAGAATTACAACCGTTCGGTGAGTTATTTCAGGCAAGAGCAGTTTCCATCCCACTTGTTTAAACAGGCCTTATAAAGTCAGGAATCAGTCACAGATCCAGAAAGAAAGCAGTCTGGTAAGGACTTAATTCTTGCTTGGTGATTAAGAAACTGAGCCAAAGGAGTCATGGCTCTCTGATGTTTGTTCCCCATTTTAAGTCTATGATTTTTTTAACCACAGCTGTCTCGGGTAAAATGTATTGGCCTCTGTGAGATCCCATGATCAAATTCTCTCAGGTGAAATACAATTAATTGTTTTGATGCATTTTGCTTTCTCTAAATGATGCAAAATTAAAATATTTCTTTTGAATCCCCACCCTTAGGACTGAATTGTTCAAAAGAAAATAGGAGGCAGGTTCACTGGTGAAATCGCTACTGAAATTCTATGTATAAATGTAATTAAAAGTTGTCCATTGAGGGAATATCTTCCTTACATTCTAAAGGCCTAATTTTTTATCCTGGCTATGATTCAGAAGGCTTGCTTGAAGCTGAGACAGAAAACAGAGCATCCTTCTGCCCATGTGTGCAGAAGTACTGCCCCAATACCGCCCAAATGTACAGTGGGTACAAATCCCACTGGATTCAGGAGACCAATAGTCAGTGGCTCACCACTCGCCTCTTGGAAGGAAGTGAAGCAGCATGGCACTCAAGGCCAAGAGAAACTGCATATACCAGCACTCCCAGTAATGCCCAGAGAAAGCTCACTAATGACCTTAGTGCCACTCACAAAGGAGCCATAACTCCTCCAGGATTGCAATTTAAGATATTCAGCATTTATTCAGGAAGTTGTTCCTATAATATACCTCTGAGAAGAAAAGAGCAGGGAACAGACACACACATACCCAGATACAGGCTTATGTTAACAATTGTTCCAGTTAATCTACTGAAACAAGAAATATTATAAACATCTAGCCTTAGGTTTGATGCAATGTTTTATGTGAGGACTATCAGTTTCCAAGAAAACTTAACCTGCCAGCAGAGCAAACAGCTACTTTCTATTTAAGGTGTTTCTGAATTCTCTTTCCTAGAAATCAGTCAAAAAGATAAAAGATATTTCCAAATTTGCAGTATAAAACATATTTACCTATAACAATTTTTAAGCATTAGCATATTCTGTAGCTGCAATTTTCTTTGAGAAGTCCATTTAATTTAAAGGCATACTATATCTTAGCAAAAGTAATGCTATTTAACTATTTTTATTACAATCAATTTTCATAGTACTTAATATTTATCATACACTCAACTCTTAAAACACTGAGCTGCAGAGTTAACTATTTGTTACAATAGTTTTATCCCTATACTGCATAACATGATATACTTAAATACAGCAAACATTATAATAAAAACCCCAGCTTAATCTGACAAATATATAAAAAAAAGGAAATTATGTTACCATCTCCAAAGAAATAACTTGCCTACTGTTTAGCAGCAGAAATACTTAACAGACACCTACCTGCCATCTTCATTGCTTCGATGAAATACCAGGAAAGGATCAGATTTCCCAAAGAAGTCCTTCTTGTCTAGCTTGTTTGCACAAAATTGCATTAAAACTGAATCCTGAAATGGGTAATACAGAAAAATTACATACAACATGCAGTTTACTACACTAGAATAATAATAAGAAAATAATTGAAAACAAAATAAACATGGGTATCTGCCTTCTAGACACCCCCTACACATTCACATTCCTGCAATGTCCTTAGAGTTTGAACTGCTGGAACCAAGAATTCTTTCATACAGGGGTGCAGAAGAAGGGTAAATCTCTATGGTATTGGTACTCAGGATTTTTGCAGTATTTTCTGGCATCCAAAGTTGCATTCTGAGGGAAGCAGATGGACAGGCAAGGAACACAAAATTATTTTTAAAAACTTCAGTGAGACATGACTAAACTCATTCCTTCAGTGACTTAAGCCTTCAGTTGTCTGCTCCTGCTGTCTGTAAAGCAAATGGCTTAGCAGCTTGCTATTAAGAGTCTAGAGGCTTCCAGAAAATAATCTGGGAGATACCAAATACACCCATTCTGATAACAAAAAAGGAGAAAAGCTTCGTTGCTGTGGCCAGGCAAACTGATAGTCACACATGGTCACCTCTTTGGGTAGAGTCAAGAATGTGAGAGGGATTATAAACGCAAAGATTTAAACAAAAACAAACCTCAAACAACATGAACCTCAAGGAGTTCAACAGAAGGAAATGCCAAGTACTGCATCTGGAGGAGACGAAACCCATACACCAGTACAGGCTGCAGGCCAAACAGCTGGAAAGCAGCTTTGCAGAAAAAAAATGGGGTTCTTGGTGGACACCAAGCTGACCCATGTGCCCTTGGCATCAAAGGCCAATAGCCTCCTGGGCTGCATTAGGAACAGTGCTGCCAGAAAGTTGGAGCAAATGACTCAGTGCTGGTACAGTGCAAGAAAGACAACGACACAGTGGAGCAATTCCACCAAAAGGGTAATGAAAATTATTATGGGGTTCAACCATCTTCCATATGAGGAGAGGCTGAGAGACATAGAATTATTTAGCCTGAAAAAGAGAAGGCTCACGGGGATCTTATCAATTTGTATAAATACCACATGGGAGGGAGTAAGTAGTCTCTGCTTAGTGGTATTCAGTGGAAGAACAAGTAGTAATAGGTACAAACTGAAACACGGGAAATTCTGTTTAAATATAAGACAAAAACTTTTTTATTGTGAAGGTGGCAAACACTGAACAGAGACTGTGGACTCTCCTTGGACATACTAAAAACTTGACTGCACAAAGCCCCGAGTAGACTGCTCTAAGAGCAGGAGGGTTTGGACTAGATGAACTCCCAATGTCTCTTCCAACCTCAGCAATTCAGTGACTTTAAAAATCTTTGCCATTCTGAATATGAGCTATAAAAGTTTTGGGAAAAATCTCAGAAAATATAAGAATTAATCCAAATGCTAAATAATCTTAGGCAGGAAATTATCACGGAGAAAGCATATGACAGCTGTTGAGCCAGCACAAGAGATTGTATGAGAGCGTGCACATGAAAAGAGCATGACAGAGAATACAAAAGAGAGAGATCGAGTCCCAGATTCTTTACAAGCTCCCTCCAGTGATTTTGAACTAGTCATCATATAGCTAAAATTTGAGTGGGGTGAATGTGGAAGAACATGAAAACCTTGCAAGATATCTAGTATTTGTCTTCATTAAAAGGAAAAGAAAAAAAAATCCTGTTCTGATTATGAATTTAATGACATATTTGTGACCTTTAAATAGTTTGTTATAACTGGGATACAAATACTGATCTTGGAGGATAAACCCAGAGTATCAGGAAAAAAAAATTGCCTTTAGTCTCTTTTAAGGTTACCAGTAAATGCTTTGGATGATGGCAAACATCTCTTAAGAATGGTAGGAGCTTAACTTCTTAAGAAATGTAGAACCACAGTTTGTGCAGAAAAGCAATTAAATGCTGTACCCATTTTGTCGTAAGTCACATAAAAGAGTGAACATTTTGATCATGTACTACGTACAAAAGTTTGAGCTGATGGAAAACAAGAGTGGAAAGACAGGCATATTCCATGAGCATACTTATTCATTCATACTAGTGACATGGGAATTTCCTACTGCTAAATGGCAGTTAAATGAGACAGAATTGGTGCATCCTTTTTAACATAACTGTGCAGGACCAGCAGGTTGCCTGGAAAAGGTAAATAAGATCTGAGCCTGTGTGCTATTCAAATATCCCACTATGCCACCTCTACAGAGAAATAATACAAACTTGACTAAGCTGGAAATAAGGCACAAAATTAAGGATTTCTTTTTACTTCAAATATCTAATCCACATAAGAAAACAAGGCCTAAACAGATCAGCTATCAGACAGATTAGTAAAAGGATAAATACGACCACTGCATAAATGGAAATAATTAACCACTTATGACCTGGTATGAAGGTTAAAAGTTATATAAAAGACGAAGCATTACCCCCTCAACAACACCAAATTACAAAGGCAAAGCCCAGAAACAAATGTCTTCAGTCCTCAAAGTATTTTTGTACGTTTATGCATCTAACCTTGTACTCTCCAGATCCCCTGTACATTCTAATCAAAAGTGTGACACTGCCGATTTCCTCATTTAAGGTTTGCTATCTTGTCACTGCAGACTCTTCAAAGGCACACCCTACAGCCCCATCCAATATATACCATGCTTTGACAAACTGCCCTCCTTCTCAAATTCCAACCAGTCTTTATCACACCATATATAAACATTCCTTATTTTTCCTTCCAGGCCCTGTTTCCCTATAATTTACAGATTGCTGCTAGCTCATCCAGTGCTGGGAAGCAACTGAGGTGGCCTGGCTGCCAGGTGCTTTTTAACCAACAGCCCCCCTCCTCTGTCCAACCCACTTCTCCATGAACCCCAGGAGAGGGACGAGCAGTGACACTCTTGGGGAAGGTCACAAACACACCATGTCTCTCCCCTTAAACAGCCAACTTCCACATCACCCCCCCCTTCCCCCATCACTGATATTCTTCTGTTTTCTATTTAATAAGCAGGCACCTGCCATTAATGGGTCACAGAAGTCTTTACTTTCTTTAAAGAAATCCATTCAAACTCTTCTATTAAGGCATTTCATTGAAATACCTTACTATTTTTTTTCCAATAAACATTTTTAAAATAATGTGACTCACTATTAGCATCAAATCTTTTAATTATAAGGTTAAAAATCCAAAATTTCACTTTGATGTTGATGTAATGCCAATATTCTATAACGGAAATACAATTCCACGGTTGAAACAAATGGATCTTTGTTAAAAATTGGACACTAAGAGATAAAATCCAGTTAATTACTTGGGGAAACAAAGACTAGATCTAAAACTTATTTAAGAATCAAAAACTATGCTTCGTAAGGTTTTCTGCTTCTTTATGCTTCTTCTATCTAAGAGCAACCAATAGAAAAACGTATCATAACTTCTTACATATATCACAAAATGCACATTCATACGTTAAACCTTTGACAATCTGGTGCAGTGTAAATCACAAAATCATTTTCATTTTATTTTTCAAAAAGCAATGAACGCACTTACTCGGCAACAGCCTAGTTCCTCTGCTGTTACTATGACTGTTCCACATTTCTTCCCAGGAATTCCTCTGCAAGAAAATGCAATTTCATCACCTAAGTTCCTTAATATAATTTATGAAAGTTACGACTGACAGAGATAAGCACAAGGTAAGCTTTCAAGTCATGAAACTGCTGGCAGACTATACAGTTTCCCTTTTCTGTCACTTTTTCCATGTAGAAAAGTTGGTTTATCCTAAATGAATGGATAAAAAAGTTGCATGTTTATTCTAACTTGTAATAAATAAATCAGTTTCAATTTTAAAGGAAATAGCATAAAAAGTTTAAATGGGATGAAATGAAAATACCAGAATTCTATTTTTCACCCTCCCATTGATATTTCAGAGATGAATCTACAACTGACTGACTTATGAAAAACATCTTTTTGTAAATTTTCCTTATACAAAACACCTACAATACATTTAAAAGGTCAAGTGCAAGGTCCTGCACTTGGATTGGGGCAATCCCAAGCACAAGTACAGGCTGGGTGGAGAGTGGATCAAGAGCAACCGTGAGGAGAAGGACTCGGGGGTACTGGTGGATGAAAAGCCGGACATGAGCCAGCAGCGTGTGCTAGAGAACTAGAGGGCACTCCTGGTCTTCTGTTATGACAAAACATTAATGTAAATATTTACTGTTGTTCTTATTTTTCTTGTTAGTTTTCTTAATACTTCTGAAATTTTTTACAATGCTCTACAACTTTAAATAAGTTTAGCAAGACTGTGGTATAATAAAGAAGTGGTGGGAAAATAGTTCTTAGAAGCAGATAAAAGCTTAGAAATTATGAATAGAAGAGCAAATACTGATGCAAATTTATGCAAGCTCACTGAAAGTCTAGTTTAGAAGTTGATTTTTAAGTCTATAAGGATTACATCAGAGAACAGTGCTCCTGTACTGCTGCAGTTATTTGCCAGTAATCAGAGAGATACATGACAGCTGTCCTGGACCTACTCAGTGCTACATGCTAAGTCTGAATTTCACAAGCAAAACACTGGATAGGAAAACTATTCAAGTTTTTGTTGTTAAATTTTAAGCAATGATTGAAATACATACAAAACTTGTGGCACTCTTCCATTTAATGCAGTATGACATACAGTACAATACTTTAAACAGGAGAATTCTCTTTAAATAGCAGAAACAAAAAAAAGGGAGTCTGGTAATTCCAAATGTTACACAGTAGGATTCATAGTTTTATCAGCATCTTCAAATCATCTGGTTTTAAATCTGTCCCTTTTCAACAGCTCAGCACTGAAAATTACCCATTTTAGTCTCTGTAGCAATGGGATATTGAAATTAAAAACTTTTTCACAAGATGAAAAAGCTGCATTTTTTCTTTTAAACAGCACTTCTTGAAACTTCAAAACTTCTGAAATTTGGTAGTAACAGCAGCAGTAGAAATGACTTAGTTATCAGGGTTATATTGACTGTACATGGTAAAATGTTTCAAGGAACAAATGACCATGACCCTGGCTTTGACAGGGAAGGAAGAAATAGAAATCTCAGTAGTGTAACTAAAAAACCCAGAAGTTCCCAGCACCACAATTCTGTAGGTTATGCCAACTCAAATACAAAGAAGCAGTATCAGAATTACCATTATCTTAACCAGAATTCTTCCTACTGAAGTATTTGAGCCCAGTTAACTGTGCCATTAAGGACATATTTGAGATGTAGTGTGGGCAATGACAGTACTTTGAAGAAAAAACATCAAACATTTCCTTTGGTACGGCAAGTCAAATCAATTTATCCCACTTCCAAAAGATTATTATTATATAGATTGTGAAAAATACACCTCTGATCACCTGCTGAAGAGCTGGAGGCCTTAAGTAAACCGTTGTTAAGTAAGCCCCATTTCTGACAAACTGGTCAGCAAACAGTTGCCATTTGGTAGAGAACCATGTGCCACCCTGCCTGCAGTTATAACAGACGGGAGTCAAGGCCTGCCCGTCTTAAACTGAGGTTTGCACATGAAGACATTTATGCAAACACATGCTTCATTTCATCTTATGACCATGAAGGCCAAAGGATCCCCAGCCCCAAGAGAAACTTGTGTCTGTAATCATCACTCTGAAGGATGGGGGAAACTGGAGAGGCAATCCCCTGAAGATGTTTAGGTGGGTATGTCAGAAAAAAATAAGAATTCTTGATTGCGAGTAGATTTGAGAAGTATGCCACGCAATACAGTCCTATCTGAAAGCACCTGGGGCAAGGTTTAGCTTGATGTATCACCAAGGTTCTCAAGGACATGTCCCTTATAAAAGAAGGATAATATTACCATGATGGCTGGCAAAGAGGTGAAATGCTTAATCGAGATTAGGACAGAATTTCTCTACAAAACAAAAATTTCTCATCATTCAGGAACTAAAGACTCTACCAAATTACCTCTACAGTTTGTGATGCTGCGGCTAAGTATGAACTTTGTATGGTTGTTTTGAGACTACAAGCATGAAAAAAGTACTGGACCATTTGCAGACACTAAAGAGTTTGCTCTCCTAACAAATTCCCTTACAAACCATTCATTAAGAAAAAAATTCTTAAATGTACCCTGATAAAAACTGGCTGTTTGCAGATCAGCCAAATGGAAAGACCTTTAACTAGCAGTAATGCCTTGTGAGAAAATAACAAGATAATTTCATGCTGGCCTTATCACTGTATGAAAATACATTACTTGGAGATTTAACATTACAGACCAATCCTTCCAATTGCCAGAGAAATACTAATATTACCTTGAAGACCAAGAATTCCACCTGTTTAAATCCAGGATGCAGTGCCACTGTCCATCTGCTTTAGTTTTTAGGAATAGCTGGTATTGAGCTGCCCTGGAATTGGTTCTATAGCACTGAAATGACAGTACAGAATTTATGTTCAGGCAACCAATTGTTCAGGCTAAGTTTCTCTGGAAAGAGTTACAGATCAGGGTTTGTGGATTAATAATGAGACAACCTGTATTGCATAATTACTGTCAACTCCAACAGTGCTATTTATCTGATACTCAGATACAGAAAAAGTGCCTGTCTAAGTGACAATAGGATGCAAGTTGTATAAAGGAATGTAAAATGTGAGGAAGATCTACATTTCAGTGGGTCCTACTGGTTTGAGAGCCCAGAACCTATAAGTGTTCTACAGTGATCACCTTTTTGGACAGTATTTGAGGGAGCAAATAATTTGACTGGCAGAGGAACCAAACAGAAAACAATCATCAAATGGAAAGTCTTCAACAATACCAGTATGTCTCTAGACAAGTTACAGTCTTGAGGAGTAGTTATTGTCTCAGAATAAATGATTCCACAACAGAGACACCATGTGTGCAGCACCTAAAAAGGTTTGAAAGAACATTCTGAAGACCACTTGGGCTTTAACAAGGACTGAAAGAAGGACCTTTCTAGAATTGGTGAAAATATCAGAGAAAGCTGACAATTTATGAAGGAATTCAAACCTGAGAAGTTAAACAGAGCCTCTAATTCTGCAAGACAAAAATGCAGTGAGGCAGAGGATGGAACATCGTTCAGATCATTCAAAAATTTAGTCTTATCCCTGAATTTACAGAACCTAGCCCCCTAGCAGGTCACAACTACAGATAAAAGGATAGGACAGATATAGCGGAAGACCCAATTCCAGGGTTTGGATGTTTTTCTATCAATTATGTTCACAGTAAGATGACAGGAAAAAGAACTTCTCAAAATAGGCCAGCTGGCTCCAGTACATCCTCATTAGCAGGCAATGGCACTCAGATGTGAATAACTAGCATAGAATGGTCATTAAGATCTGCAATGACTCTGCCTCCTCATTAAAGGGAATCCCTAAAGGAATGCACTTAGTAGATCCTGAAAGAAGCATTGCTCAGAGTTATAAATGTGGCTAGAAGCATCTCTCTAGGAAGACAGAACATGCAAATACCTAAATCTGAATAATTTATGGGAAGGTAATGCTCTCTTGAGAGAAAAATAAAGCTGTGTCATTTCTGGAAGTAGACGGATCTGCACCTCATCCTTTTCATGCTAATACAAACGAGGCATGCGAGGCCAGTCTGAGTAAATCCTAAACTCTGAGCTTGTCTTGAGAAGGCATTTAATGAATTTAGTAACCCTACATGTAAAGAGAGTAAAAGTTACTGTTAAAATGTCAGATTCCCCATTTCAGCTGCTTGACTAGATATATTTTCCAAGATAAATTATCCAGACCAAATATTCACCTCTGTACACGGCCAGCCTATAAAATAAAGTGTAACATCAATGTACGTTCTTGAACAGAAATGCTCATAGTCGCAGGGGTAACAGGCTAGTGCATTACCACACTGAAGCAAGAGTCTTCGGTGACAGACTGCATTGAACTCAAAGCCCTTAATGGTGTCAGAACCAGAGAGGGAGGTTCAGGAGACATCCTCATACCTGCCAAGACCAAACACTATTAAGTTCATGCCTGAGAGGCATAATCTGCTGGTGCTTGTAAGACCAATGAAACTGCAAGTCATGCCTGTCATGAAGGTGAAAAAAAATGTGCGTGTACATCTTCGCTTTTGCACTTACCATGAAGGTTAGTAGCAAGGTATGTTCCAGCCTGCCTGGCTGACCACTGCAGTGATGACCCTCTAGGTTTGTAATGTTTCACCTTCATTTTGATGGAGGATGAGAGTATCCTTTCGTGGTAAACTTACGAAGGGAACTTTCCCTGGTGACATAGAATCTGACTTGGAGCTGGCCAGCTCATGGCAGCCATGGAGTCCTGGATCTCATGAAGGTTTTGTAAAGGTCTGAAGTAGATCGATCTGAAGTTTAAGCTTCACATCTTTCTAATTTTCATTTGGAAAGAATGTCAGAGGTTACTTGAATGCCAATCAGAGAACGGAATTCAAGCTTCTCAAGCTGCTTAGGTATAAAAAGTCCTACTTCAGTAGGGTAGCTGATTGGGACTAAAACAGCACTGGCATTCTATTCTTTGTACATCCATGGCAGGGAACAGAAAAGGCAAAATGTTAATGAGCTTCAGAAATACTGTAAAGAGAAAAAGCTCTCTGATATCAAGTGACAGATCATAAAGAACATTCAAGTTATGTGAATGTTGACTTGACTATGTAAAGAAAATGGTAAATTCAAAGCAGTAAATATCCTTAAGAACAGAACACATGCAATATTGTCTACTGAATTATTGTTATTTGCATATTAAGAGACATTAAACACATGTCTATAATCAAACAACCCTAGAATGCAATGCAACAGTTTAATGAATAAAATATCTCCTAGACACCAAGGTATCCAGACTTCAGATAGTCGAGTGAACAATCAACCAGGCACAGTTGTCTAGCCACAACACTGTCAAAAGCACCAATGGCAAAATAAAACCTGAATACTGGAAGAGCTGATAAAAAAAGTAATGAACACTTTCTCATTAACACTAACAAATATCTACCCACACCACATATACAAAAAGGAAGGTATATTTTAAAATCTTTCAATCTGGACAACTGTTATGCGTCCAGTTAGTAACTGCTATACAACAGAGCATCAGAACTTGAACAAAGCCAAGAGAAAATGTATTACACACATCTGTGAATGAATTCTAAGACCTTTTTTCCACAGAATCTTTACTGATATCTTTCCCTTTCTCATGGCTGATTTCAAACTTTAAACTTCACCTGTTACTCGCTTCAGACTTCACTTAGCCTGTACCAAGTGATAACAAACTGCTGAATGAATTATTTTTAACCTACATGTTCAAAATAAATTTCAGAAATTTTCTCAGGGGGAAAAAAAAAAAAAACCAGAAGTGTAGTGTGCTGAATCTACTGCTTTGAAGACAGAAAGAACTATAAAGCCCTTCAAGAAGTCAGCAAGATTTGTCTTACTAAATACAGGTGTCTTCAAAGTCACCACCTTTCTCTGACCAAGTCACCACATGCTTTCAGTAGAGTCAACTGACAACTAGTCAAAATAGTCAACGGAGTTACCACAGTGCAATTCACTGTGGCAGTCAGCTTAAGTTGGCCCCAGATAGTGCAAAGTTAGTGACTTCTGGTTTAGTAGAAGTGAACAAAATAGGGCCAAACTCCTGTCCCAACTGACAGGATAGTGTGCTTGTGTGCTCAAGCAGACATTCAAACTATGCAACCAACCTGCTCGCTAACAAGAATTAAAAACAGGTCCAGAACAAGTAAAGGGTGTGTGTCCAGATCCCATGGTGCTGAGGTCCTGATATGAGTGGGGCAGGGGCTGTTTCTCTAATTGGGTTATTGGAGTTCCCCCTCCTGCCTTGCACCTATGTGCTCCAACGTGGGTGTGGAAATGAGACTTCAATGGGCTGACGGCTCTCCTGGGATGGGTCTGGAAGTAGCCAGGGCAAGGTATTACTCGGGTTCCGCCACCTGCCACTGTGCTTCTCTTCTCCTTTGTTTGCAGACAAGCTTTTCAATCACATAACCTACTACACCTCTTCTATTATGCCACTTATATTTGTCCTCAAGGCTATTTCCTCATCAGGTTTTTAAAAGTCTACTATCCAGAATAAGATTAAGAGGGGAATCACATAACACTGTTGTGTTGTCTAATAACCACAATATTTGATAAAGTTGACCATTTTGTATGACTGTATTAGAAATCTCAATCTGATCAGCTGTTATTCATTCTTTGTTTGTGCAGGGGTATTTTTTTTCGGGAGCTAGACTACAATTAGCAGTTTCCTACTATTCCCCAGTATCCATAATCGATCAAATAGTAATGTAACACTCATAATACTGATACAGTCAATTATTGGGTTTTTTTGGGAGGTTGCTTTTTTTTGTTTGTTGTTTTGTTTTTAAACTTTAAAAAAAAGGGTTTTTTTAAACTTCTTTTCAGTGTTAAGTTTTTCAACATTTATTTTATTGCAGACTTGTGATTAGCTACTGAAATTGAAGGACATTTAAAAGTTAAGGTTCATCTGCAAACCTTGATGACAACAGAAAGTGATGCAGTTTTACAGTACCATTTTCTGGGTAGTTTTTCAAGTTATTTAAGGGATACAGTGAAGTACTATTACTACTAACATATATTATGTTACGGTGTGAATAGGTGTGTTTTTAAGTTTAAACAGTGTGTTTGTAAGAGTTTTCCTGAATTATGCTGCAGATACTGAAACCTTCCCCACCTGCAGATTTATCTACCCTTAAAAAGAAGTAGTTGCCTGTGTGAACAGTCCCACTAATACAAAAAAGGGAAATAACAAGGAACATGTAGTGATATTAATAGAACTGTTTATGTATAAGACAATTAAGCCCTTGATATAAAAATAAACAATGTAAAGAGTACTGGTGTAGTCCTTAGGGAGGGTGAGGAGAGCAAGAGATGATGCGGGGGGGCAGGGAGGATTACTAGGGACTTGTCATAAGGACTGAGTCTGTAAATACAGTGATCGGGTGACTGAACTATATTTGGAACCCCTCAAAATTCAGCAAAAATGCATTTATTACCAACCTCAAGTTGAATGTTAAAGAGAACATGAATCATATTGTTAAAGGATGTTGCAGCAGTAATGATCACAGCACTCATGGAGTTCAGCAAGAGAACTAACAGCTTACATTTGTTATAAATCAATTTGAATCATCTGCAGTTGGCTGTAAATTAGGGAAAATAAATCAAAGGCTTATTTTGATAAAACACCAAGTGAAAATGTTTTGCAAAGACTTTGAGGTTTTTTTATGTTACTCAAATTTTCAGCATGAACTGTATGCTAAACAAGTCCTGCTCAAGAGCTCAAAATTTGCCTTTGTACAAAACCCAAATGATTGGAAATAAGACATTTACAGACAGAATTTAGTCAAGGCTAATGGACTGGAAGGGCTTAATTACAGGACTGCTTCCCCACAAAGCAGTGCTAGCCAACCCCTGGCATTTATGATTCAAAATGGATTTGTTTCAGGTACGCATAAGTCTCAGAAATTCAAGTAGATTAAATCCCATTATTTTCTCAAATTAAAACATAATTAAAGTTTACCATAGTTTTTGTAACGGATTTTTTTTTTTTACTTAATTTTAAAGATTTTATAATTTCATAAGGATGCTTAGATAAAATTAAAGGAAAACTGTGTAAATTCTCTTTTGGTTTATCAATTTAAATGGTCTGTTCTGAACTGTTATTTCATCCATAAAAAGAGTTCCAGAGACAATTTGAAATTATTTTCAGCATGAAAATAGGAAGCATCACACGGCTTTCCAAGCTTAAGCCTGCACTGGAATTGTAAAAATTTAAAAATGTAAAAGGGCTGAATTTTGCCAAGCGTTGTAGTTCATCCAGATCCTGGTCCTTCTTATTTGAATACAAAGTCAGGATAAGTGCCCAGTTGGGTGTTTTCACCAAAGTTTGGCCCAGAATAATATATGGCTTGTTAAGTCTGAAAACTTTGTTTGCCCTTAAAGGGAAATCAGTGATGAAGAAAAGCAAATGAAGTAACTCTGGTATATTACTCATAATGAACCCAGTGAAATGGAAAAAGAAGAATGCTCCATCAGACAGATTAACCACATTCATGATCATTCACTGCAGTGCAATTACTATTAAAAGAAAAAACCCCAAAGAAATACAAAAAAATTCCAAATCAAAAGACATTGCCATCACGTGAAATGTCCTGCCATACCATTAAATGTTTGCTTTTGATGTCATACCTTAATTTGTAGCATAAATTTAGATAAAAATTGTAAAATATTTCAATTATTCAAACATTACTTAGGAATAGAAAATGAAGGTTGTTCAGATAATTAGTATTTTAAATATCTGTACGTCCTTATGAACAATGGTGTGCAAACACTAAAATCCTCTCAGTGGGATAAAAATCCATTGATCATAAGAAAGTTTTTCATAAATTTAGCAGGATAAATAGAAAATATTTGATAAGCTGCATTTCCTCATTGTTTGGGAATTGTATTATTGGGAACAATAGAAAAACAAGTAGAAACGTGTGAATTTGAAACAGTGAGGGTTTTCTTCCTTGATGCTTGAACAAAAGGCAATAAAGATTTATGACATGTTAATTTGCAAACTAGAAAGAAAGACATTTTTAAGATTAGTACTATCAAACTATTTCTAGTGCAAGATGTAATGAAGTCGACAAAAATTCTGGATGAAGCAATCCCTTTGCTAATTGACCGAATTAAAACTTAAATTATCATAATGTATAAAGAAAGACTCCTATTGTAGCTAACAATTTACTCTCTCTTAGAAGCCATGTCTGTCACTTCTGTATATCCAGATATCTAACAGCAAAAAAACTCCACAACTCTCACCTCATGAAGCAGTACATTTCATCCAACATTCAAGAATGACATACTCACACAATTGATTTTTCCAGTCTGCTCCCCTGTGATCCAACTATTTCTCCCAGCGTACAAAACATTTGCCCCAAAAAGTCCTGAAAAGCAGTAACATAAAAGGTCAGAATTCATATTTCACATTGGAACAAATTTGATTTCCCATTTAACTGGGCTCTTCACTATTGTAGAACACATTCGCATCTTAATGATATAATGCAATAATGAATCATAAAATACACACTATTACATATTTTATTTAACACTGGGCTACATTTACAGAAGTAATTCTGATGAACTCCACTTACTGTTTTTATATTTTCTTTTCATCAACAAAAATGAAAATGAGATGGAAAAAAATGTAAAAGCATTAGAAACATGATTGTTTCTTTACCTCCTGTGACTGGAGCATTTTAATTGCTTTCATGAAGCGATTTTTCTACACTGATTCTATGAATTTCTCGGAAGTTAATTATGTTGGCAGAAATTCAAGCCTGTTCAGAATCTGTATGAGCATCGTGGACTGACAATTATGCACGAGCACTGCTTTAATGATGGACTTTATTTTTGTGTTTTACAATTCAACTATGTAACTAAAAATCAGCTAATTTTCATATTATATCTCCCTGTAATATAAGCAGTATAAAAATATGAATGGATTTTCAAACTGTTTTATGTATATTGAAAAATATTTGATGCTGCAGCCCAAATCCTCATCCTGCAAGTGGAAAGAAGTTGCTAACTCTGTTCTTCCTGGCATGACTGGCACTAGTGGTAACAGTAGCTTGTGACATTTGTTCACAAACAGGAATGAGCACTGAGACACTGATTCCAAGACAGTAAACCATAACTTTATGATACTGGGTATGGTAGTGAATATCTGTACAAGTAGTTCTGACTTGTCTCTCAGCCCAGGCCTCTCATTCCCATCTCTGAGGTCTGTTAGTTATGGGTTCATAAAGTGAACTGGGTCTGAGAAGTAATCCCAATGAAGAGGAAAACAGCCCTGCAAAAAATACCTTTTTAAACGGGCAACCAATGTCATCTACCTGGACTTGTGCAATGCCTTTGATACCGTGCGCACAACATCCTTGTCTCTAAACT